TTTTTGTTACAATGCTCAGTGTCTTCCTTTTCAGCACTGCACGAAGACGACGACAAGTCGTACGAGCGTCGCGTCTGCAATTAAAGGATGTCCACGGCACGCCGCACTATAGAATACCTTTGGCATTCTGGCACAAAGGTGGAGGGTGCTGCGCCAACTCATCAAGGCGAAAGAAGTCAATATAAAGGCATACATTGGAGCATGCATAGTGCTACATAACTTTCTCTTTAAGGGGTCCACAGCATCCTCCACTGCCTATAGCTCGCCTGGTGCCACAGACAGCGAGGATTGGGAAGGACATCTTTCACCTGGAAGCTGGAGGGATGAGGAAGAAGCCGGCGGAGCACTCATACCATCAAGGCCTACCGGCTGCAATGCTGCGAGGTATGCTTTTATTCAATTTATGAATGATGAGGTGCCGTGGCACATATAGTGCGCGATTGACAAAAACTGAAGGATGCGGAGGGGACATAATGGAGAGGCACACATGTGTTTTGCATTAGTAATGGGCATTTAAACAGTGCTCGGACAGTAGGTTTTGTGTTAAAGTATACGACAAACACACATTGTAAAAAATGTTGCTCTGCAGTGAAGTTTTTAGAATGCACGTTGTAAAAGAAAACATGTAAAGACATGAACACTACGTGTATGTCAAATCGTCTGTGTTGCTCAAGAGTTAGTAAATTTTTACTACTTTGAATTATACGCACCAGTTGGTGAAAGTTCTTCAGTACTACCACATATCAAAGCAAGGGAATGTGTAGGGGTGCTAGTAGTATTCACAATGACAATATGAAGAAAGAAGTGTAGTGAAAAGATACCTTTGTGCCGGCAAGATGAACGAACCTCTGACCTTCAAATATACCGTTCTATGTACTACCAAGGTAGCTTCTACCAAACTCCCCGGTCACTTTACGGGAGATTTGTGGGCAGACGTTTTGTCGCTAGGAGTGTCGATCTTTACGTCCGTTTGGTTTCTTCACATTTATATCATAATTAATACCAACAGCATCCTATATATATACATTAGATTTTTTGTTCATTCCAATTACGACTGTGTTTTAACAGAAATGGGTCCTTGATTCTTCTACTTTCTGTTGTATCTGAATATATACTAACTAGTAGCAATAAAAAACATAGAGGTCAACTTTGTTCCAAATTGATGGCCCAGCCGTGTGCCGCGTGAGATGAGGTTTTAACAAAAGAAAACGATATTCGTGTTGAGTACGTTGCTGATGCATATTGAACAGGTCCATCAATTACGATAGATTTTGAACTGACCGAGCCACATTTATTTAGGTTTAACTGTACAGGGCAATCATTCTCTGAAAAGTGTACAATGGTTTTGTCCAAATTGGAGCAGTTGCTGACTTTGGCTGTCATGGAACTTGACATATCAAAATTTCTAAAGTTAATCTGTAAATATGCATTTTATCTCAAGCTGTGATGATGCCGTAAAAGATAGGCAGCAGAAGTAGCGCTCATCAATACATCAAAAAAGAGGAACACTTTCATAATGCCGGGGCAATAGCGTCATGACTGCGACACTGAAATGCAAGTATGCGTGAGATTTTCAAGCTCAGCGTGCTCCTTTTACAGTGTGTGTCTTCCATCATGGCTATGCCGACAGAAATTTCACATGGCATTTATGCGTTGTAGGTATGCCAAGGAAGTGTGAGATAAATAGGCGCACTACTTCGTCACAGATGGTCAGGTGCCTTGGCAGGACAAAGTGGTGAACAGCACATGAGGCGCACAAGGTGAAGGTGGGTTGTAAATGCATTTTATTGCTCACAAAACTTATGTACTTAGCATCTTCTTAAGCTAAACAAAGAAGAGAAAAATCACCAGTGACACAACAGATACATTACAGGGAAAACTGTCATGTCCAAATACAACCATGAAAACACGAAAATAAATAATTTATGTTAAAATATTTGAGGTATTTCACGGTTATCGCTACAATTATTAAAGAAATAAGTTGCCTTAAAGGGGTCATGACACCTAATTTTCAACCATAACGTGTGTTGTATGGGATGATACTTGTATGTTCACTTACAAGCGGGCAAAATTCGAGCGATTTGGTCAAGCTATTAATTTTTAATCGCATATTTTTATAAACAAGCTAGTGGCCTGACAGTTGGGCAATGCTGACGTACTCACTATCCATGACATCGTGAACCGCTTGCTCGACAAGCTGCTGCACATTGTGCATTCTGGCAGACGGTCGTGTTCCGCCGTCAACTGCGCTTGCAATAAAATTTTTCCGCATTGTTGAACTCGCCACTAAAACTAAATGACTTCCAGGGGTCGAAACATGGCTACTGCTTCAGCAATGTAGCGCTAGTACTTGCAGCAAATAATTTCGGACGTCAAAATGGGTCCTGTGAATGTGCAATGCACATATCATTTGCCACTGCTCCTTCAGCTTGCGACGTCTCGCACGCCATGACAAAACAGCGGTCACTTGTGGTAGGTTGAGTTTTAAGAGCCGAGCATTTCTACGGCTTATTTTTGACTAAAATAATATCTTAAGGCCTCTTTTGACACGTGTACTAGCACATTTGACTCTGTAGTTTTGTTTTTGCTAATAACCGTCAATTCTTGGGTGACCAGTCTTGGCCCCTTTAAGTTGGGACTAGAGAAGTGAACACAAGATAAAAAAGGTGGCTGTCATTGGCATTATATAAACACTTCAAGTTGCTTCACTGCTCTAACGCAGTTTCACCTCTGCTTCATACAGCATAAGTTCTACTGCATGCATTAAATCTTGTGCAACGTGCACTGGTAGCTCTCTGAGGCGTGCATCAGTACGTAGAGCGAAGAAACCAATGTTATCTCTTTTGATAACCCCCCTGTTCACTCTGATGTGTTCAAGGTGCTTCATGCATGCTTGCGCCACAGCTTCAAGGCTTGTGCCCTCTCCTGCATTGCTGTAGAGCAAGTGTAATCTGCGATTCATGCATATGAATGCTTTAAGGTTGCATTGTTACTTCATAAAGCACCATTTAGCAAACAAAAAACCAGTGTGAGAAGGACAAAGTGGAAACAGAAGAAACAAGACAGAGCACTGGCTTTCAACTGATGTTTGCGATTTTCCGCACTAAGAAAGAAAAAAATAGAGTAACTGAAGCAAATTAAATAGCACACTTTAAAGATAAACGTGTCAATAGGGCATCTACCTCTCTGTGAGAAATAATTGGGCCTTTGATCTTTGAAAGAGACACTCGTGTTTTGGGACAGGGTGCTGATGTTCTGATATTAACGCCTAAATATTACGGTAGTTACATGGGTTCTGTCTGCCTTAGTATAAATGTGTCCACAATAAAAACATCAGTTTAAAGTCAGTGCTCTGTCCTGTTTTTTCTGTTTGTACCTTGTCATTCTCACACTCTTTTTTGTTACCATGTCTGTGTACTAACTTGACCGAGCATTAACCTTCTAAAGTTTTGTATTTTATAGCATGCGCAGGATTGTTAGAAAAAAATCTGCAAGTTTATCCTCTAACTCTTCCGGTATATCTCACCTAGCGCCCTCGCAGGTCCGTTGTCGTCTTGACGAGTGTGACCGGCAGTGAATTATACATATTGCTTAAATGTACAGAAAGAGATCCTTTTCGAAAAGTTGTGATTGTGATCTCTCGCCAGGAGTACCTAAAAAAATTTTTTCCTTTACACACCGTTTTGATGGTGGCTGCTCTCTTGAGGTGGTTGCTGAAGCATCACTGCAGAAGAAGGCAGTATTATTATACAACTTATAAAGTGATACAATTGCATGCAGCAGAATCTGGTGTGAAAACATTAGGCACATTCTCCAAATTTGCTTGAACACAAAGAAGGTTACAAAACATGTTGTTAAGATTTAATAGATTGGCTATCTGTGCATGCGCTTCATTTGTCATTACTTAGGTGGATTCATGAAGGTTTTACTCATTGCTGCAGGTGTCGACACCAGTCTCCTCAGCCATATCAGGGGTACGTTCCGGTTCCGCTGCATGGCTTCGCCGAGGTGGTGATCTGCAGTGATGAAAACTTCTCTCTATGTATTTGATGATGTCACTAGTACATGAACAGTTTTAGGCATTCATTGGGAGTTAAAATGCCATTATGATTGCACTCAACCCGAGGTTTATTTATCATAAGAAGTCACTTGCGTTACCTCTTGATTGAGCACTGCTGTATGGAAGGTATGCATACAGAAGTTTAATGTGCCTAATATGTTGATAAAACGCGATGTAGGCTGCACATCTAAATGAGAACAAGAGATATTGTCACGGAGAAGAAGTAAAGGAAGAGGAAGGACTCAAGCAGCTGGTAGGCACGCGAGGGTGTTAATCAGCCATTATGAATCTTGCCTGTGGGTTTTCTCCTGTAAACGCATTTTGTACAAAAGTCTCTAACCCCGTAACAATATCTCACTGGCTATGTGAATGAAACTTATACAGTCAATCCTAAATGGCTGTGCAAACAATGTGTCTGATGAAACTGTGCCTTGCTGTCATTATGTTTCTTGAACACATGCTGCATACGACTTTTGCAGCATCATTTTACTGCAAGGAATGAGTGAATGCTTCACATTATTCAGCTCGCTTGTATTGCAATCAGCGCTGGGCACTTGTTCATAACGAATTGACTTGAATGTGTTGCCAGTGTGTGCAGATAATGCATTAGTTTGCTTAATTGCGGCCTGTCACTGATGAATACTTTGCTTTTTCAGGAATATTTGACATTGTACAATAATCAAATTCACACAGAAACAATTCCTGTGCCCTCATGTATTCCTGTGTGCTTCTGCTCAGTGCTGAGTGCTGAATGTATTTAAAAAAATGCAGTGATTTGGGCAAGCTAACGACCCTAAAACCGCCTTTCAAGCACTCTTGTATTTTTCATAATTTTGCAAAGTACAATCACCTAGTAATAAAAAATAATGTTTCTAGATTCAAGTCCATGCGTGTACAGCTTCAAGTGCATGCACATGGTACCGAACATTTTTGTGCATGCTCACTTCTCGTTAGCCTCTTCTGCTGTGATGTGGCTGCTGCAAGAGAACATGCAATATGTGATTCCATCAGTGCTATTGTGTACATCTTCAGAGCATTTTCACTGTTTTGCTGCAATATAAGTACTTATGCTGCATTCTTGTAATGAATATGTGCAATGCTTGCCTATGAACAGCCTACTGTCACGTGCAATAAGCGATCTCTTTAGATTTTTAGATTTTGTATTAAGCCTTCCTTCTTTAGGTAACTGAGAGCCGAGAATTACACAGAAGTACACTCTATTCTCTCATTCTTACTGTTCTGTCTTCAATATTCTGTTTTGTAAAGCTGTTCACGTGCCACTTGTACGGTATGCCATATTTTTTGCGTTGTGTTGATGCATTGTGCTATGCTAACCAAAACATTTCATTTTCTGCTCAATGGAGGGTAAGCATTATTCTTTACCTTTGGTCAATGGCACTCATGTTGCACAGTACCCTGAAAGAATGATGCAGAGTTATTCTTCGTAGCTGTAGCGACAATTAGTCGACATCAAAACAGCCCATTGCCACCATGTTCATGATCACATGTATGCCCACTGTGAATTACCTCTTGGGACTTCTATGTTTATGTGCAGTGTACTTATGTGTATTGATATGTGTGTATTTGTGTGTATGTATAACAGTCATGTGAATTAAATCATCTTTTTTGTTTAGTACTCAATAGTCAGCCAATATTGAACTTATGCCACAGGCTCAGACTCTCCTTCCATTAATTCAAGCATGGCATCAAAATGGGGCCATTTATTGTTGGAATGTCGGCTGCTCCGGCTCCACTCGTTTGTTTTTCACGTATGTCTTGTTTCCTTTTGAACATATCACGCAGGTTCTTAAATCGTTTCTCAACAAGGGCACCTGAAAAAAAAAACCCTTGCTGTAAGAATGTCTTGTGCATACTGTATCGCTGATAAATTTTCTACTTTATTTCTGCACAATTGTTAGCGGTCTTTATTTTCTTTGCCCAGATCATTTCGGTTGCAGCACCCTATAAATCTGAATATTGGGCATCAAAATTAATTGCATGCCATCTAAACTCAAGTATTGATAGGGGCTTAAACATTGCGAAACCACGACATGATTGAGGGAACCTGCAGCTGAGGGTTCCAAAAATGCCACCCACCTAGTGTTTTGGACCGTCCACCTACATGTGCACGACATCACAGCTGACGCAATGATTAGTTGCGCAAACTGTTATGTACACTGTTTCTCGAAGGTTAGCATGTCTCCGAAGCTATCATAACAAAGAGGCTGTTTATACTGTCGGCAATTGAAGTTCACTTGCAAAAAGTTTATTTCATGAACCAGCACATGATGTCTTTATCACCTTCACAGTGAAGCTTTTTAAGCATTACTCCATTGTGCAAAACTCCGCAGGTGAGTATATACCATTGGTATCGGCCAAGCGCAACTGTCGTGTACAGTGGGAGCAATTGTTGTCAAACAAAAGCAAACATGTTAAATAGCTGAAAAGAAGGATGAAACTAACTAGAGCAGGATGACAATTTTTGAGAGAAAGAAATGCAACAAACATAGAATATGACTCAAAGTGTAACACAGAGAGAGCGAGAGGAAGGGAAATATAAGAAATTAAAGGGACCAAAACATGAAAACATACCAACACATAGAGCTCTAAAATGTAGGAACAAAGAAAAGAAACAAAAACGAGGCACAGCTGGAAGCAGAAAGATATAACCTCTGGGAAGAAAGGAATAATCGAAATATAAAGGCACCAATAGACAAACACAGGAGAGGAAAGGAACAGTTGTGAAGAAATGAGGATTAGATATGGACCACATTACAGAGGAATAAATTCCCCCATCTATGCTTTCCTTCAGTGTTCACCCAGCCACTTGAACACTACCATATCTTTTTTTTTACAATTGCATGCCATTTGGCATCAACAGCATGTCTGACTCCCAAATCCGGACATTTGAGAGTGCTGCTAAACATGTTTTGTATGTCTTAATTAATTACACGCTCCTCTATGGAGCGCACAAAATGTGCTCGAAGCAGAAGCTACTTTGCATTCTTCTTTAAAACAGCACAACTGCAATACATAGGCAGAATTAAAGCGTAACACCCCCCCTCCCTCTCTGCGCACTAGATATGCATTGCAAAGGCCACACGTTCACAAAAGCGCACATTTCCTTGGCCAGACGATGACGTACAAACGCAACAAGGAGCATGCGCTAGGGGAGTTGGCAACTGCGAGTAGTATTTCGAACGTCTGAGATTTATTATCAGCTATACAATGTTCTGTCACGTCGATTTTGATGTTGAACTCGGAAAGCCGCGAGAATAAACGTGCACGCAACTGTGCTTGCATACATCACAGTCAATACATCTAATGCAAACTAACCTTGTCACCTTGCAGTACTAATACCAATATTTTCATTGTTCATTCATTGGCAACGCCAGCCATGCAGTACACAATTTTTCTTGCTTATATAGCTACTCAAACGAAAAATCTCGGTACTTACTCGACATGCCGAACATGCTTCCGATCTCTGCCCAAGCCCGGTCCTTCTTTCTCCGATCTTGCATTTCGCCTCCACCTAAAGGCGATCGATGCGGCCGTAATCAAACCCCTCATTTACGCCTAATCTGCCGACCGCAGTAACGACTGCACCATCGAGCCCGCATACGTCATAAATGCAATTCGTTCTATCCGCCCAAGCGAAACTTCCTTACAAGCGAAGCGCAGCCACAAGCCACAGCATATTAATCTTCAAACCACACGCTCTTACCTAATGGTCATGGCCAGGCAGTCGTGCGCCGAAATTGTAGGCCGGTGGTTTGTGTCCTGCTTGTATATTGGGGGGCGCAGCAGTTCGAGCAAAGTGCCGAACGTTCGTGGCGGCATCCGCATGAAGCTAACCACCATAAAAAGAATGAGATAACATGTTATGCACTATCTTATAAGCACGTAAAACAACCATAAACTTACTCTCGGAAATACTCCTCGCCGTGCGAGCGCAAGTCGGGAAGCAGACGCCCTGTGTGGCCAGCCACTTCTCGCTAGCGAAGGGACGGTCTCACCCACCACCGCCTTGCTTGCTTTGAACGTTTTCATGCTGCCAGCGCTGACACGTTGGCTGAGCACATCAGCACCGCCACAACCTCTTCTTCATCACTCGACTCGAAGTCTATGATGCTGCCGGGAGAACGCTACGCAAACACAGCCGTCAAAAACAAGCGCATCGCGCTCAGCGGGCTCCCTATCTAATCAGCTGATCGTCGTCGGTCGCCCAAGTTCTCGTTGATAACGAGATCTGTACGTGACTCTCCGGGTTTGCGACTTCCGGTCGCTCGCATGAAGCCTTGCCGGTGTGAACGTCGCTCGCAGTCTGGTCGCCAGTCGCAAATGGTCGCGCGACCGCGGCTAGTCGCCGGTGTGCACCAACCTTTAAAAGAAGGGTGCCGCTTGTCATACAGATATGGGTACATTTTAATCGCGTCGATGAGGAGCTCGGCCGAGTACTCAAAGCTGGCCGTGGTGGCATTCGCCTGGCGCGAGGAAAAATCCATGGAGGAACGTACCTCGCGGCAATAGGCAAGCGCAACGAGAAATAAAAACATACGAGGAGCCCGGATGTAAACAATGGTGACGTCACTTCTGGTCTTCGCTGATTGGTTAAACTGTTTTAGGACTGTAGTCACGCGACCAAAAAAATTGGTCAGGAAGCGACTTGCCAAAGCAGTCGCTTTGCGACCGTTTGCGACCGTTCGCGACTGCTTGCGACCAGTCGCAAATGGTCGCGCGACCGACCGCGGCTAGTCGCCGGTGTGCACCAGCCTTTAGGCAAGCATTTTGTCAACCAAGCTGAGTAATTCAACACTCAGCTGCCGACACCCAATATAGACGCCTGTGAATAGAGGGATCAATGTTTATGTGGAAGATCACACCACCACTGCAATCGAAAATGTTAAAGTAGGACAGCAGAGCCTGCTGGAGCTGATCAACCTGCTGCAGTGTGAAATTAAAGCAATCATCGGCCTGATTGCTTTGTCTGGGCGAGTATTAGACTGGCATTTAGCATACTGGTCGGAAGAAGTGTCCACTGTGAAAGCGTCTATTGCGATGTCGTCCGATGTGAAAAGCAGTGCCAAAGAGATGCCTTGTGGCATCACTCAGAATGTCTAGCTAAAATTGACAACTGGAAGCCACATGAAGTTTGCTGCAATAGAAATAATGGTGTGTGGTAATGTAATACTATTGCTCATGAGGACATCATTGATAGGCATCAGTACATAGTCGCCAACAGCAACTGGAGGTATCGATACAAACTCGAGGCAGGTGAGTGTTTGGGTTTGAAGGCGAGTAAATCTGACAGTGCAGAGGCGACTCGGTCGTGGTTCAGCAAGGTCTGTTATGGGCAGATGGAGAGGAAGCGTACTAACCGTACAGTCAATGAGGGCAGAATGTGTGCACAGGAAGTCGATGCTCAGGTTTTCGTCATCGAAGCATTTTTCAAGGATGGCAAAGAAGGCAACTGTATGGCGATAAGTGATGCTTACATGAATGAATCACATTCCAGTGACAGATGCTGTTCTGCCGTCGACAACTTCAACGAGCTTTGTTATTGCAGGCTTGAGTACCTTCTTGATCTTGTGAGGAAAATCAATGGTCATAACAGAAAATGGAGCCCCAGTGTCAAGAGCAGTGGCACGCACACTGTCGACTTTTACATCAATAAGGTTCCATTTGGTCTGTTCGGTCAATAGAGTATTATCGGTCAGTCCAATTGATGCAGTGCCATCTACTGGGGCTACAACATTGTTTTTTATAGCAGGACATCGTGGGAAGGTGGTCTGTGGGGCTGAGGAGAACGGGATTGACGACGTTGGGGTGACGGAGAGGGAGAGTAGTAGGAATCACTCACAGGTTCCTGGTGGGATAAGTGATTTGGGCTGGTTGCGTGGCAATAAGCAGAACGGACATTAATGGAACACGGTAATGTTTGTGCAGTAGTGCCCCAGCGACTTTTGCAGTGGCGACAAATGTGCCCAGTACGGGGACAAGTGGAGAATATGGGCTTTTCATGTATTCACCATGCGAATGGATTGTGCAATGTTGATGAGCCAGACTGGGACGAGCGTGTAGTCGTGAATAGAGGCTGGTAGTTGGTACGAGAATGCCTCGAAATTGAGCAGATATTCATGTTGGTGATCTGTCGTACAACTGCTAGGCCAAGGGAAAGGGCTCAGGGAACTGTAGCAGGAGCGGCAGCCTCAAGCGCATGCCGAACAAGTCATCTTAAATTATTGCTGGAATTTCGTGGACAATACATGTAGAGGCAAGACGAGATTGCCTCAGTATTCGGAAGACGCTGAAACTGATGCAAGATGTGCCTGCTTTTAGCTTGTTGCGGTCAGTGGCTTCCTTGAAATACAGAATCAACAGAAGAAATTAAACTAAACTCGAACAAGTTGAACACATTGTTGACAATACTCTTGAGGATGTGCACAACTTTGTGGCAGAGTACTATGACATGCTGAATGTAGCTGATGTACAACTCTGAGGAAGTTTGCACCCAAGTTGACACTTCATTCTTTGCCGCTCCTCGATGGTCAAAGTGATTTCGAAAAAGCTCACATATATAATCTTTTAAGCCATCCAAGCTTGTAATGTCATGCTCATGGATGTCAAACCAAACACCAGGAGTTCCATCGAGGTAAAAAATGACATTCGCGAACGTGAGGCTGGGGTCCCATCTGTAACTAGCACTGCCGCATTCGTACAGGCACAGCCATTGGTTGAATTTGGAACCTTAGCCGCTTGAGTGCATGTCAGGGTCTTTTAAGACTGGAAGCATGACAGAAGTTGTCGACCGGTGGGTTGGCAAGCAGGACTGGAGGAGTGACAATCAGAGTGGATTTAGGAAAGTTCTGGGAGGTCTTGTTGCCTGCCGCGAGCAAACAGTCACTGTAGAGTTTCGTGGTGACGACAGGGACCACACCGCTCAGCCAAATATGTTGTGGTAAAGACAAGAGTCTGAATAGACGGGCTTGAGAGAATACGCGTATATGTATTTACGTCTGGTTAGGTGAGCGTTTCTACCAATACGAACAGCTCGAGCCACTCTATCGTTCTTCTCTTTGTCTCGTGATCCTTATACCACTGGTATGCAGCTATCATTCACAGGCCAAGTGCTGCCACCAACTGGTCATGTATGTAACACCTACCCACCCCAGACAGATTTTAGGGAGAGTATCAACACACTGGTTTCTTCACTCGTGCTCTGCGGAGTAACAGTGAAGCAGCAAGGGCCTGAAGTGCCAGTGGCACTAAGTATGGTGCTAAACAGGGAAGAGGAGACCACCACCTTTTGTAGAATGAAGCCACAAGAAAATTCATATGGATTTCTTAGAAAGAAAATCTTCTTAGTTCACGAGACATTCGTCCTGATCTGGTCTGGCTTCGTGCTACAAACAGGTGGTTAATTGTCTTCTTTCCATTTTCTAACCCTTCCGCTGCCTTGTGGGTTTCCGCAAAACTCATTTGCAAGGTGCCATTGACACTGGCATCAGTTCAGCATTCAGTGGAGATCCGCTAATTTATTCAGTTTCTGCGTCCAGTGATAGCTGCCTTGTTTGCATTCTTCCTGGTGAAACAGAGTAAGGAGGCTGAAGACTGTCATTCGGTCTGATGTGGTTACCATGCCGATTGCTGCTACAACCATCAGCAAGTTCCTCATGCATGGGTGGTGAACTTGTTTCATTAAAAATAGCTGACAAGCCTGAAGGGCCCAGTCCGAATTTTTTACAAGCTTGTGTGAACATGGTTGTGGCAACTAAAATTGATGGCCAAGTAACACAGCCAGTCGCTCTGAGCTCAGCTGTTCACTAGGACCAAGTAAAGAACCCAACAGCCGAACAACGTGGCATTTTCGAAAGAAATATACTTTTTTAGTGCGCAGGAAACATTTCAGAAAGCAGACAGAAACAAAACAGTGTGATCTGTCTTCTTTTTGAAACGTTCCCTGCACAGTAATGGAGTATATTTCTTTTAAAAATGCAATACCAACCAGCCCAACTAGCCACTATTTTGGAGTAACAAGGCCTGTCTTCCTCTGCCGCTTCGTCTTTTCTCTGGCCACCACGCATCGCCCTTTTGTCCTCATGCATACTGCGGCCTTCTCAGATTGATGTAGGAACCATTCATGTTCACGCTTTTGTGCAAGTTTCGTCATCTCCTTCCACTTCATTTTGCCATCGCGGAACTACAAACACTTGGGCACGTCGCTCATACTTCACAGTAGCGTCTTTTCTCGTGTTTAGGATGCACTGCAGCACACAAGAGCTTGACGGCATCACATCACTGAAAATAAGGGTGCCTCACGGTCGCGCACCAAATAACCGCACTCAAGTACTTGAAACATGAGGCAAGCTTTCCCCCACACAGTCACACACACAAAAAAAAGACCAAACACTCATAAATCCCGAGGCGACTTCATCGTACACTCTAAGAAAAAGTGGAGTATTCAGGGAGTAGTTCTGCTACACAACAAGAACTATGGACTATCTCACCTGAAGAGAACCCTGATGGGACGCGAAGCAGCAGCGGTGCACACGGTGTTGACCATGTTGAAATGGGTGTCGACGCGTGTGCTGGAAAAACAGTTTGAAACGAAACTTTGTGTAGCATTTACTCAAGTAAACATTTGTTTGAAACGCTAAAACACGGGAAGCGTGACGCGTTGAAGACGCTTGCGCTCGGCTTCCTTGGCTCGCGTTTCGCAGGTGTTACCCTCACACTGCCTGTATTCTTGATTGCGATCAGTGTTCTTGACTCGCCACTTCGTCAGTGTCACTGGTCTTTCTGGTCTGCGGACGCTTGCATTCGGCTTCCCTGGCTTGCGCCCCATCAGTGTCGACGCCGTCATTCGCGAACACGATCGGCTTCGCTAACCCTCGCAATGCTGGCGACAGCTGGGAAAGGTATGCACACACTAGCATGAAGTATGTCGCGATGGCCTCCCGCCAGTCGGCACGATCGCGAGGTAGGCAGCAGCATGCTGTCCACATTTTCAGTGCCACGATATTCTCGAGGCGCGCGCAACGTGCACACCCGCCGGCTCGCGGCTTTTTCTCGCCGGCCGATAGAGAGGTGGCGCAGATAAGATGATGCCCACGTAAGAAGTGGGCTCGAACATTGCGAGCGGTGGAGAGGGTGAAGCGAGAGAGATGACACATGGCGAGCGTGCAGCAGGGGAGAGAGAAAGACGTCACCGCACACTGCTAGCAGGGCGTAAGCAACTTGGCACCACTTTATTTTTTGGGGCGAGTGAGCGGTGTGGACGGAGGGACAGTGTTGCACGAGCTAGTCGAAGAGCTGCTTTGCATTTGATAATCGTCATCTTACTTGCGCACATTTCCGTCCTTAAAAACCCGGCTCCGGCCACTTTCCTGTCAGGAAATGTCACACGGATAACGTGTGTGTCATTCGTGACCGCAAACTACCAAAACTGTAGTATAGGGCGAGGAAAGTACTCGAAGTAGATGGCTATTACTGATGTGTAGCACAA